ATATGTGGATAGTGCATCTAACAAAATTTCATGTTAAGTAACATGTACATTATTTTCCTGATACCAATGATAATGATGAAAATGGAAAATTAATCAGTGAGAAGTTTTAAATTAATAACTTGTTACTGTACCTTCAACCTCTCGGTTGTCAGGTTTGTCTGCAAAAACAAAAACCAGAAGAACTGCAATTAAAAAATCTGGTGTAGAAATTGAAGGCGAGTGATCTAGTGTTTTAGGCTACATTTACAATTCAGTCTAACTGCCACCTTCTGCCCACTTTACTGGCTACTTATCTGTTGGGTGATAGGGTAATTTAGTACCATCAACTGAGTTGATACCATAGAGAGTTTCAAATCTGACATTTTGAACATAAGCCTTTTGTCAGAGCAATGCTCGAAACATCAGCTTTAAAACTCTTTATGGTGACCGATTTATGTTATAAATTCAGTTGATACTACTAAATTACCTGTTATACTCTCCCACCACAAGTCACCACTGTTTCTTTAGAAACTTACCCCTTTCATGGGGCAATAGACTGCTCTTTCTATCTGTTTATCGGGGTAATAACCTACGCTGGATGTTGAGAGGACACACGAAAAGTTTATAAATCACAAGCAGGAAGAGAGTGATTTACAAAACCTTTTTGGTGTTCTCCCAACATTTCAAGTTGTTTATTACACCAGTAAATCCATAGAAAGTGTAGTCTATTTCTTTTATAAAATCAAGTCAATTACTGGTGCTATAAAAATAATAGGTTTTTGACCACTCAGGGCTCTCAGTTAAAGTATTGCCTCTATATTTTGTAGAACAGAATACACATTCTGTGGCGTCCCCTATCAGATTAGTGACAGTGACCTAGTAGATTTATACTAATACCCCTTATTTCACTCACACAAAATGGAGAGAAAGTGTGGAAGTTTGTGTCTAAGCACACTGTGCTGGAAAATAACACAACAATGCTTTTATATTTAGTGTCACATAACTAATGGTCAATCAAGTTCTCCATTCTTTAAGCAAAAAAAATTTGAATTCCTCTTTTTAGGGCAATTTCTTTTTACTTTAGACTTCTTAACCTGTGTGGATTCGTGAACAAATATTCCAGCTGACTCAATGCCATCTGATCCATCGGACTCTGGTTCAGGAGGACAAGCTTTGACATTCAATGGACATGGAAGAGTGGAACTGCTATCTGCTTGAAACTGAAAATGCAATTGAGGAATTACATCCATATCTGATGGAAACAGTGCTAAAAATGGTCTTATCAGTTATTTTGAAATAACTCCCTTCTTCAACAAGTCAATAACAAAATGCTGTGTTACCTTCACAAATGTATAAAAAAAGCCCAGTCATTTCTCAAGATGCTCTTACTACTTTTTTGACAGATAAGGTTTTCACTGCAACATTACAGCCTCACTATTACATTTAGCAATATGAGCTTATAACTCAAACACAACTTTGGCTGCCCTTACTTTTTGTACTTTTTCTATTTTGTTTAAATAGATCTGTACATTGTTCAAGAACCACCAAATTTTGTGAACTTTTTCACAGTTCTATATTAAATGAACAGATATAATCATCAAACAAACTGTTAACCCAATAACTGCATCTACATCTATATGCCCATTGTACATTGGGTAACAGAAGCAATACCTGAGATGTAAATGATGGTAAGAGATTCTGTGGACTTCGTCGAGCTGGGGAACTCTCATTCTGTATTCAGAGGTAAAAAGTAAATATTAATCCTATAAATCCCAAGATCTGATTGTTAATTCTCTCATTTAGCTGTTACACATTTCTTTGTAACTTAGTTACAAGAATTTGGTGTTCTATCATGATAACAACCTCTAACTGATAAGTTTAAGTAATCTCATTACCTGTTTGTTGGATAGTGTATGAATATTGTTGGGAGAAGTTACATGTAAATCACTTCTGAGAGTTAAAGGATTAAGTCTCTCTTAGACCAAAGTGGCCCATTCAGCTGGAGCTTATCTCTCTTAGTCTAGCATGACACATCTAAACAATTATAAAAGATGCGTAAGAATTGCTCGAGGTGTAGCCTCAAGCAACTCTAGCTTCTTGATTGCTCTCCTAAGTGCTCCATATCTCGATGAATGTACAGCTGACATATGAACCAATTGTCTTATAACATTTTCAACCCGATGGAAAATTTGTTTTCTCGAGGGATTTGTTTGCTGACATCATGAGCATGAACAATAGGAATATGAAGCACACTTGCACAATTGAATTTGACTAGACAAATTTACTAGCTATGTTATAATAACCACTGTCTACTAGAGAGTGCTGATGCTCTTTGCTGTTGACCCCATTAAATTGCATTTAACTGCATGAGATAAACAACTTCAAACATAAAGATCAGTCAATATGTGTAAGAAATTAAGACATTGAAAGTGTCTTAATGTACCTTGAAATACTCTGTGATTTTATTTGTTGGTTCTGAGCGCCCACTTTTACTAAGAAAACCTACAAAGCACAGCTAAAATTAATCATCATAAAGTTCTCAAAAATTTAAACTTACAATGAATAAGAAATAAAAAAGACCTTTCACAATGTGCTCTGAACTTTCTCCAGACCAACAAACACGTTAAACCAAGAGAAACTGCTTGTTAAGTGTATGCTGTAGTCTATAGAAGGTTAAAATGATATCAATCTAGTACAAATTTTCTATCATTCATGTAATGTACTTGGAACAATAGAAGATAAAAATTAAACTAGTTTTGTATCGGTTCAATCTAGAATCGACTCTTGAACAAAAACAGGTGTTTTTCAGTTCTGTCTAAAGAAATAATTCAAAGCATACATGGTTTTGCCATACCAGGGGAATCTCCATCCGCATTTGCTTTCCGTTTTCTTCCTAAATGTTTTTCACTTCTCTGGCTTGGTGTGATGCTCTGTATAGAAATTACAAATACATTGCATAAATTAACATAAGTACCATTTGCTTTGTATTTATAACAGACATTTGCTTTATCAGAAGCAGTGGTTCAAAGACAAGTTAGTTGCCATTTCATAGACACTTTAAAAAGTAACATACAGGCCTTTAAAATTGACCAGTATGACTTTGCAGTGTATACTGTTCTTACAAATGTATTCAAGCAATTACAATAACAATAGGAATAAAAGAATAAACACCAACACAATCATTTATTACAGTGTACATGATGAAATCATTCTTTCAAGTGGACTGCAATAAATTGAAGAATTGCAGAAAATGAAGGCTGAAAAAATGGGATGATGCCATGACTTGCACATGACTTGGGTTTAAGTGAAGAAGATTTGAATAGAGTCAGCTTCACTCTCACTTCCTGGATCAATGAGCCAGGATGCTTTTAGAAGGTGACAATTTCTGTTGCGGTTCATTCCCTTCTCCTTTTCCTCTTACAAAGAGATCTACAAAGTAATGAGGCTATTGCTGCGACCCAAATAGGAATGGCTTAAGGGCTGCTGATGCTTGACAAAGGCATCCCGGACTCTAGTGGACAGAAGTGTCCATTTTCCCATGGTAGGCTAAGGAAACAGCCTGTTCTATCATAGTGTCACAGACCTTTGTGTGGTTACCTGTATCTCTACTATAACTGAATTATGGGTAAGTCAGTAGGGGCACAGCATTTGAAATGGTCTCACTGAATGAGAAGTAAGTCAGATCTTTGCTTCATAATGACAGCCTGAACACATACTTATAACAACTGTACCAGGCAAATGCAAGTGTGCTCCACATAACCTGAACAATATGCAGCTACCTCAAATTCTTTATCACTTGCTATTGAAGAAACACTGGCATTGCTGTGTTGAGAGTCTTGATTGATACTCTGGGGGATAAATTGGTAAAGTAAATTTAATAAATAGATTCCATGTTTGTGCACACCTGTTCAGCAACATATCACAGATGACATCAAAATGAGGTTTGAACAAAAAAGTTGCTGACAAGTTGTAGCGCACGTACTAACTGAGAGATGTAATGAGTGAATTCCTGAGAAGGAGTTTTCTTGGTAACACGGAAGTGATGATTGACGTTTCGAGAACCTAGGTAGAAGTCATCATCAGAGTCAAGAGGATGGTTGCTGTCAGTCGAATACTGTATACTGCCACGAATATCTAATCACGAAACATTCTCTATCTTCTACTCTTCTAAGAGTGAAAGTCTCCTGTGAGGACTGTCCCAAGATGTATTAACAGATTTTAAAATTCTAAAACGTGGTGTTCACTTACTCGAGGAGTAGAAAATCTTGCTTCCAACAGTTCACGTTTTTGCGGGTCTACATGTAGAGCCTCAAGGCGAGAAAACTGAATTTCGCCTTCGCCGTGTCTCCCTTCACCGTGTCTCCCTTCACTAGCTGTTGCAGCCACTAAAAGGAAGTAAAAAAATTAAAATTTCAAAATATCGGCCAGTGAAGGTCTTGAGTTTATGAAGACACTACATGTAATTCCAATACTTGAGCTTACTTGTTGGATGTTTTTGACTCATTTGCGAGGAACTCGTGCTGTGTTCTAGCTGTAACTGAAATGCAGGGCTAGCTACTCCATTGCCATATGGCTCTTCCATGGTTCATGCTACTATTCAGTACACACAGACAGACAAAAGTAGTCCTGTAATTGTTTCGATTTGTCTAAAGATTCATGGCTCTATTTTTGTATCTCCCTCGAGGCTGCCGCAATATGTTACGAGGGCCTGGCTACTAAGTCACAATCTTACATAGGAGAGGGCCAAGGAAGCGACCCGGAGATGGGGTGGGTCGGGTGGGAAGGGCATGAAAAAGTTGCTTGAGATCTCAACTTGGTACTCTTTTCCCGAAATTCCCGGTATCTTTACGCCCTCCAGACAATTTATGTAAGGCAAAGGACGGACATCGTCAAAGAAAAAACGATGACGTAGATTGTTATTTAAAAAAATTGTTCCAATATCAAAAAGTCATTCCGGACTCTTGAAGCGACCAGAAGTGTTAAGGCACAACCACGTGACTAGTCTAAAAGTTTGGCGGGCTATTGGCGGCAGCCATATTTCCCTCGCCACTTAAAGTTGGTGATTACACAAAGCGAAATGTCTTTCTTTGAAACTCTCGAAAAGCTGTTAGGTACGAAAGATTTGTACGAAGCACTAAAGCTAACTAAATCAGCTTCTGAGTCGGAGATAAAGCGAGCTTATCGTAAAAAATCGTTAGAAGTTCATCCTGATAGGGTTCCCGAAGCGGAGAAAGCGAGCGCCACCGAAAAATTCCAATGTTTGAGCAGAGTTTACACAGTTCTGTCTGATCAAGACAAGAGGGCGTTGTACGATGAAAGTGGGGAAGTTGACGACGATGTTGTGGTCCAACAACGTGATTGGGATGCCTACTGGAGACTACTGTTTCAGAAAATCACTATGGAAGATATTGGAGAGTTTGAGAAAAATTACAAAGGATCAGAAGAGGAAGTGAACGATCTCCGGTCGGCGTACTTGGATTATGAAGGTGATATGGACGCTATCTTGGAAAATGTGCTATGCTCCACGATCGGCGATGGTGAAAGATTCCGAAAAATTATTCAAGATTTGATTTCAAAGGAAGATCTACCGACTTTCCCAGCTTTTGCAAATGAGGATAAAAAGAAGAAGAAAGCGCGCAAGCAAAAAGTTAGTAAAAAGTATTGGTCGGTCTTTTATATAAAATGTTATTGTCCTAGAAAATATCCATAGTCTCCTAAACAGGATCATTAGAAATTTTAGACGGGTAGCAAAGTCTTCTGTGGAAATGCCATCATAATGTAGTCATCTGATATACCTCCATCAAGCTCGTAGAGGTGGTGGAGAACAAAAGAATATTTCAGATGTACGTCGGATTTCGTATTAGTTTATGATTGAGTGACACTGTATCAAAGTTTTGTTACTATTAGAAATTATTTGAAAGAAGACTTGTCTGCATGAGCAATTTTTATTTCACAACATTTATGCGGCAAATTAATTTGGTCGCGTAGATGTTAGCAAGCATTTGTAAAGAATTTGGCAACAGTTCAAACTCTATGTGCTGGTTATGACTTTGGATAGCTAGAGTATTTTGCTGGAAACGTATGCACAGGCCAAGTGGGGCAACTTTAATTTGTCAAATCGAAACAAACACGCAACCCTAACAGTGAAAATATTTGCCTCATAATCCTTTTTCTCAATCTAATTGTTCTCATCTTCACAAGCTAATCAAAGTTACAGCACGAAAATAATTGCTTGTTTTGATAGAGCTATATACATGTAGATAACCTGATAGTGCAGATAAGGACTTCTTAAGATCTTTCTTTTTTTTCACTGTATTAAGTGGGCAGGATCTTACCGTGGGGTAGTCCCACGATTGAATTCCCAAAACAGGTTATGGTTTGTCATTATGGTGAATAACACTTTCAAAAGAAAAGTATAATTGTTTGCCTTACAACCTGGTCACTTCAGTCATGGATCATGATGTTTCAACAGCATACTGCTAGTCTTCTTCAGGCAATGAGGTGGATTGAGCATGTGTCATGTATAAACTGTTGGAGTTCCACGGCTGTGGTTGGTATATCTTCTATAGTTTCCCTTAGCAGTTTGCTGCCGCACAGGTCCTCCTGCTGTTGTGTCTCATGATCATTGACATTCGGGCTTCTGAGAATTCTATTCTACTATCCTTCTTGATATCATTAGGCTGATTGCTTATATGGATTGCCTCTTCACCTTGCATTTGTAGAAATGGGGATCACCCTCAGTAAACTCTACTTTGTTCAGAGAGGGCTGAAACAGTGGTTTTTCTGTATAGGGTTGTGTCCTATTGTCACGTCATGTTTGTTTAATCTTCTTTTTTCCCAAGGCCCAGTTGTATGAAAAGCCACAAGTAATAATCCAGAATTAAAAGTTTAACTTGCCCTTGATTTCTCTTGAAATAAAGCATATATTCAAGCTAACATTTTGATGGGTTTTACCTTAGCACAAGACAGAACTGAAGGGTAAAATATAAACAATCAAAACTGTCTGGAAAGCTATAACATTTAATTAAAAGTTGTTGTCAAAACCTTAGTCATCTTTGTGCCTTGGACAAGTTTACAGTATGTTCCCTCAGATAATCTGTAGAATCATGGTATTAATTTATAATTAATCTTGTGGTGCCAACCTCTTAGGCTCTAGAAAACCTATAAACAGGAAGGTTTGGAAGGTACCTTTCTTACAGACTGAAAGGGACAGGAGCATGGGAGAATCATGGTCAGCACAGGAGAGGAAAGCACATGAAGGAGAATAAAAATGCAAACATTTGTCAACTATTCATCTGCAGTGTTTCATAATAGGAAACAGTAGGTGGAGGTCAAAGGTGTAACACAATAGGAAGGAGGGAAGAGATTCTCCTTCTGCAGTCTCTTCCCCTTTTTTTGTGGTCAAGCTTTTACATAGCTGAATGCCTAAGTTTTTGAAGATTATGATCAATGATTTTAAAGACTTAATTTGCTATTTACAGGCTCAGAAAGAGGCAGCAGAAGCAGAGGAGATGGCCAAAGAGCTTGGCTTAAAAGACAAAACTGATGATGGTCTGAAACAACTGGTTATGAAACGGCAGAAAGATCGGCAAGGGGCCATGGATGACATGATAGCTGGGCTGGAAGCAAAATACTGCAAACCAAAAAAACAGAAAACATCTAAAGGAAAGAAAAAATAGTTTTTTTACCTGAATCCAAATCTGTACTGGGATGAAAAATTTATATATCCTGGTAGGTTGTATTACAGAAGGGTTGTCCTTCAGTTGCATTCCAGTTAAGCTGGTTATCAGTATTTGACAGTAAATCAAGGGAATATTTATCATCACAGTCTTTTGGTATTAATGTTTAAGTTTACACAAAATTTACATATCTGGTCTGTAGAAAGTGAAGGAGTTTGTATTTATCTAGGTCATAAAATTTTCTTAGTGATAACACGTTTTGCTCTGCCTGTTTTATAAAATTATCTCAACCATGCAACTTGTTGAATTTTGTTAAATAATAATGATATAAACATATTGTATTTTCATTATTAATTGTCAAGATTTTGTCCACATTTCCCCAAATTTAGACCAAAGTGTATGAGATATGCAATGAAAATTATGCTTATTGAGACATTTTGTTTGTTTGTTAAGTCTGATAAATATTTCCTCCTGATTCAATCACAACTGCACCATGACATGTGGGGGCTATTTGATATACCTTTGGCCAATGAAAAAGAAGAGGAGATGCTTTTTGTATGTATCCTATACAGGCCTGAATTTTTTTCAGTTCCTATTTTCAACTACTTGTTTCAGTAGTGTTTTTAGCTGCAAGGATCTCTTAATTTCATCTCTTCACTGCAGTGCAAATATATGAATTTCATATATCTAAAATCATCATTCATTACTTGGATGGTTTATTTGGACCCAACACACTGACCAGCTCCCAGTTGGCTTGTTAGCTCAGTTGGTAGAGCGATGCACCAATATTGCAGAGGTCATGGGTTCAAATCCCCTAAGGGCCTGAATTTTTTTTCAGGTCCTATTTTCAACTACTCGTTTCAGTAGTGTTCTTAACTGCGAGGGTCTCTTAATTTCATCTCTTCACTGCAATGCATGATGAAAAATACTTAAGACCTGTTGTATGTAATTCATTATTTGAGTGCACATAATGACTAAAGATTTTCCCTAAATATCAAGGAAAATTTTATTATTTTGTCCTTCTTCCAGCCTCATTCTCAGTGGTCTTAAAATGATTAGATTTAGAGACCTTGGGCTAAGAACAAAACAAACACCAATACGATTTTAAGAACATGAGTCTTTCATTGTGTTTCTGTTTTCTTTTTTACTCGTGTTGCTCTTAGGAGTGATCGGAAAGTAATTCTTCACATTTCAAATACCACTAAGTTCAGTTTATCAAGATGTATTCCATGATTTCTGGTTATAGTGCTATTGGTCTATAATTATTCGTATCACAATGTTCATTTGTTGAACGAAGAGAAAATTTTTGCCAGATCCTTTATTGCATGTGAAGAAATGAGGAGCCAACTTACAAATGTTAATTGGAACTTTGGTATTGTCAATGTAAACTGTTGTCTAGTTATTAATTAACAGCTGATTTTTTGCCCATCATTGATTAATTTTCATGTCGTGTGTTTTCCCGCGTTTTCCGCGTAAAGTCTGAATTATTTTATAATTTATATTCTTTGTTTTTGGTCCTGGCGGGACAAGTTGGCATTGTGGATGCAAATTGTTGTCTAAATATTAATTAACAGCTGCAAGGTGCAAGATGAAGAAGCAACATAAACTAAATAAAACAAAATAAGGCAATGGAAAAACAACTGATAAATTCTCACATCAGTATTGTTTAAATTCTTTTTGGTTTCAATTTCTTAAATAAGGCTGAAACCATTCACTGATCAATTTCCATGTCGCGTCTTCTCCCGCGTTGTTCGCAAAGTCTAAATTATCATATAATATATATTCTTTGTTCTTAGGCCCCGGTGGGGCAGGTGGATTAGGTTTATGCGAAAATTAAAAGCCAAAATAGAGTGGGAGAAAACTTAAATGGAATTTAGTCCAGGTCTTTTGTTAATGTTGTTTATTATTTATAGGACATCATTTAATGAACTTAAGTTCCTTTGTTATGTTCTTAAAGTAATACGCGGTCATTTCCAAAAATTACAGTGATTGGTATACGAACTGTCATAGTTCTGAGGCTATTTCCAAGTTTCCCATACTAGACACACAAGTTTATAATCAAAGATTTGGAGTCGGTGCAACACTGAAAGATCAGAAAGCACCTAATCCTTTCAAAGGAGGTTGCTGCGATAATGAACTCCCTTTCAGTCAATTCCACTGAGGGAGCGGGCTTTATGCGTTCAGCTTTTAAAAGGTTGATCTTTACTCAGAGAGTCTATCTGTTCTTGACCGCGAGCCAGACAGATTTAACCTGTGCCTTTGGCCTAAGATAGATTTAGTGAAAAATCCATCAAAGTCCTTTTACCTCGCCAACATTACAGCATTTTCTCAAGCCCAGAACTGTGAGTTTTCTTTAAAGGACTCTTTATGTTATGTCGGGGAATTCGGAAAGCCAAGCCCGCTAAATAGCCTGTCCATTAGGGAGGAGAAAACGGGTGCGTGGTAGAAACAGTTCTTTTCAGAACTTAGAAGACGCAAAAGCCATGCTCAATTTAGTTTTCGATTCTTCGCAGACAATTGTTTAATGTTTTGTTTAGAAATGTTGAGAGTTTGTTTTTCTCTCGGGGGCGAGAAGAAATTGGGACAAGACAAGGGCGAGACAGGGTAGGGCACGCACGTGTGGACCCTTTTACTAAAATTATTGACATGACATGACTCCTGCTCTTGTCAAAAGTGAAGCATTCCAGCCTCTTTTACTAGTTAGTTTCAATAACGATTCTTCGTCGCCCTTTAAGTCGACTTTTTCAATGTAAGGATGAACCTTGGAGATCTATTCAATAAGGTTGAAAAATAAGCTATTCTTATATCAATACCAGAAGTACATTTCGGTTTTATTTGGAGAAGTTGCCCCTATCTACACAACTCTTACATTGCTGAACAATAAACCTCCCAACGCTATGCGACAATAAAAAGTCAATAATTGCTGGTTAAATGACATCCTTCTTCTTTCATTACCCACAGCAAACTCACTTCCAGGAGCAAAAATGAAGCAAGTAGCAGTTATCCTTCTGATGTTGTGCATCTTTGGGTAAGTGACTCATTGAGGACCAAAAAAACGAATAACAATTGAAGTGCTTCATGTAAGTTTACTTAGTTGGTCCACAAGAAAGATGGGGAAGGGGTGAGGACTTAAAGGAGATCACATGGTTTCCAAGAGGTATATGGAGGGGAATCAGTCGTCGCCAAAAGAGTATAAATAGGGGACTATAGAAACTTGACTGCCAATTAACTGCCTATGAAGGGGATGGGAGGAGGGGAAGAGTTTAAGTAACTGCCCATGAAGGGGATGGGGGTAGGGTGTAACACTGTAAATACACTCTTCTACATGTCATGTCACGCTAGACTCCTCGCATCATTGCTTTGTATCGTGCTCCTTCGCGTGGGATGATTTGCAGTATTTGCTAGTTCAATACTCGGAAAATACTGGACCAGCAAAGGGCTAATTCGATTTGTTAATTCTTATTATTTGCGCACTGGACGAGTTAGCTGTGTGTTATAGGTTGGTGTAATACAGACTTTTCCCCCTGCACGTACTCTACTCACCGTGAATATCGATTTGGCCTACCTTTGTTTCGCTGGCTCTGTCTTGAACGATTTGTGCAAAATCAAAGCATTCTGATTAAGAAAGAACACGCTTCAGCTCCCTGTATACAAGGAAAGGAAGAACTTTTTTTTTTCCAAGAGTGTAAATAGTTTGCTCGGTGATTCCCATAATGGCCAAGTTGGCTTTCAGTTAAAGCCTATTTTTACCTTACGCCGAGCAATGTTGTTCGCAGCAGACGCGAATAAGAAGAGACTTGCATTTTTTCAAAATTAAATACGAGCTAGTTTCATTAGTTTTGCGATTATTTAAGTCATGGGGGAGAATTGATGGACTTGGAAAGATTCATTACAGTGTTCAGGGCTTTGCAAGGAATGACATCAAAGTTGACCTCATAAAGGTTGTATCGTAGAGAGCGGGCTGACAATAACAAGCGAAGTTGCCATGGACAGTCATTGCGTGTGTGTGCGTATGTTTTCTGCCCACTAGCAGGAAAAAAAATGAGCAAAGTCGAAATTGCCATGGGAAGTGTGTGTGTGTGTGTGTGTGTGTGTTCGAAGACAGCTCTGTAGAACATCGATCATGACCCTGAAATGAGGAGGTTATTAAGAAGAATACGATATTTTAACATGCAGCACAGGGGTAGTCAGGGCCGGTGGTCTTTGTATCACTCGCTTTTTACATGATCCTTAGTTTTGTCTTAGATGTACAAACAGAATCCTCAATTTTTTATCATAGGCCAACTGATAAGCAAACATCAGAAGAACATAAAATTTGAAAAATGCTGTTTCATGACAGGGATGCTTTTTTAAGCTGTTTTCGCGCAAACCGGTTCGACCATCAAAGCGTTTTCGGAAATTAGAAAATTGCAGAAAATCCGTCCTCATTAGCAGCACAAAAGCACTTTCGCTTATTTGTTTGTTTTAGAAATTTTTTTTTCTTTGTATCGTTTACTGTTTATTTAGAGAAGAGAAATTCTTTTGTTTTTCAAAAATGCCAACAATGTTTGTATATACGGCGGCTGCAATCCAAATGCTACCGACGGAATTAACTAAATTGCGTAAACAGGAAACTGAGTCATTCAAAAACCATTTTAAAACTATTAATTGATACTTTTCACGAAGAAATTTCGAGAAAAATCTACCCCGACTCCTGTCGCAAATCAAGATATTTTACATGCTGGAACAGTCAGTCCGCAAGACATCACAACTTTTACGCGTATACACAAGGGGTACGTGATCGCGGCGCTTATCCCAACATCCGTGTGTTGTATCATGCTTATATCATCGTTTCTAAGTTTAGATAGGATGTGTACTTATCGTCTAAACGGGCATTCGGTGACAAGCCGTAACAAAATGCTAACCAAGGGTTGTTTGCGTGCCAAGACGATTTGCATTTTTCTGATAAAGTTACGAAAACATTTGTATCGAGCTTAAGATGTAGGTATGAACGGATTAACTAACTGGGAATATCAAAATAGGTGATATGGATTTGTCTTGCTAGAGAACTAAAGAATTGCGTGAGTCACCAAATCAGCTATTAACTTTAATTAATTAAAAGAAGAACCTTTAGCCGGAAGTCATGTATCAACTACATGTATCTCTGTAATGTTAATAAATTTTTCGTTCTTTTTGTTGTTGTATTCTTGAGCTAAACCAATTATCATCAGCAATCGAAAATTATCTTTACCGTATTTCACTTGTTTATTACAATAAAAATAATTTTCTTCATTGACGCAATCTTTCTATCCCCTGTCAGAGCTGATGTCTCTAATAAAAGTAAAGTCGGTTCTGCATTGTGTCAACATGTCATCAAAATACATCGTTGAATTACGTTGCCTCATGACCACAATGGAGTCGACTTTCATTGATTTATGTTACGTGTATCTATACTTGACCTTTGCCACAAGTTTATCTTCGCTTTTCGCTGAATAGGAATAACGTGAATATAAGGGACCCGGTGGTAACAACTGCGCCAGTAATTATGGAATCTAAGTCATCGGCCGAGCGAATGTGCTGTAAATCGTTCAAAGTGTCTGAAAGTATAGTGGTGTTCTATATCGTAAACTTTGTGCTTGTAACGACCGTGACATTGCCAACATTATTTTACATTTTCCAGCCGGATCATCCTCCACACACAAAACCCAATGGGTAAGTAAATCATCTTTATTTTTCAGTTTTCACCAAACCAATCGATGGAACAGGAGCAGGCAAAACCTGCTTCTTTTAATGATTCGTCGATTTTATTTCTTCCCACATTGTTGAGCCTAAAAAAAAACTACAAACTCTCAAATCCAAAGTATGACTTTAATGGATGTTCTGATAATGGCCGATAACTACGACCGTAAACTCTCCTCAAAGGAGTTTGATGTTCTCTATCAGTAGTTCCTTGCTTGGAAAGAACTACTATTTACCAGAGTGGGTTTTCTTGTGATTTGTTTATAGCACGCTTATAACACCTCCTTAGCAAAGTATGATATAGAAACGTAAATGTTTTCTTTTGGGTATGAAAATGAATGATCCCCTTAATAAACTCATATTTGCGAAGGACTAAGGTGGAACTGCTAATGCTTAGGAAACAACCACAGTGGCCTATACTAGGATTTCTACTCTTTCTCTTAGATTTAATCAAACCTAGCCGTTGTTTCTTGTGTGAAAACTGACAACATGAGCGAGAAATGTGGCGAAAATGTTCTCGTTTGGGTGATGACTGACGTAATTATTTAATCGTTTTTGGGGAAAAAATTCCAGTTTTAATTTTCAGTTTTTGAAAGCTTCCTCTTCAAAGAATAAACACCATAAGCTAATTGATTTTTCACAGTTTACGGTGGGAAGATTTCAAGTATCAGTCAGAAGGAAATTCTGAAGGAGTTTTCTTTGTCTGACTCATTCCTAAACCGGACAAATGTAGGAGGCGCAAATAAATAGCATAGGAAGATTTCTATTGCCTTTTGAAGATTTTGTATCACTAACATGTGGAATAGGCTAAAAGAATCGGTTAAATGCTCTTTAATAGTGTGGAAAACAGAACAAAAATATCCCCTGATTAAACTTACATTTTAGTGAAATTACTAAAAATTCATACAGGAATGAAAAATCTTAGCGATGGTAATGGTCGAACTAAAGAAGTTTTAAACGTTTGAACCACGTTTTAATCTTTGAAGTTGTGACGAAATTTGTGACTGAGCTTTTGCTCCCGATCCTTCACAAATAATGTTACTCTCAGTATGTGGTGTTACGTCGTGAGCGAACGTGACTTTAGCAAACATTGCTTTACCTATGATGCACAGTTTGACACAGATAACATTATGATCTCGTTAATCAAGAACGTCACCAAACGCCTCTTGTCTTCTAGATTTTATTCTAGGTGCATCTAGAAAGTCACAAAGGTCAAAAATGTTATCACACGCCACGTTTTTGTTTTATAACGCTACAGAATTTTACAACAATGAAATAACTTTATCCGGAGTTTTTAACAAAAATGGAAGAGATATCCCTCTTGTCAATGCATGACATTATTACGGTGTGAGACTATCTTCAAGCCAAGGAACGCCCCTGAAATGTCAAAAAGGAGGGGACGTCTTTTATAAGCCAGTTAGCGTGATCTTTATCGCACTAGTTGTGTTGGTGTTCTGTGATGTATGTGTATTTCTCTACAAAATCGACTTCAGCTCCACGTAACGCTCATGACAAAAACCACCCAGCAAACACCATTATTTTCTTTGCCCAAAACAACATGGTGCATATAAATTTTTTAACTCAGTATGCAATGCGACTTAATTTTAAAATGCGACAACACTAATATGTAAAGCAAACTTTAACACGAGGATTAATTTCTATAATCTTTCGTGTGGAATTTTAATTTTCGTGTCCATAGCCCATGGTTTAGCGGCAAGGCAAACAGAACCGCCCTGCAAAGTAAAGATTTTTCCTTTTTTCGACAAATGTTTACATTGGCAACGAATATTTACATTGGACAGGATATTTACAGAAGGATGCATTTATGACCAAGCGAAAATATGTTGGCAGAACTTCCCGGAAGGGCAGAAGAAAAAGGGTGTTTCTATTAAAAGTCTTACATCAAGTCTATTTACGGTATACTTGTGAAGCGGTCTCCTTTCAGAGAGAAACCGCCCACGTTGGTAACACACCAAAGACTCGTATTTTTAGAGGAATCTGAAGGTTTTCCTTTTACACTCAGCCCCAAAATGAGCCCCAAATGAGTGCGACTTCCCAGCTGATGGAAATTGAGAAATAAATGGTTTCCATCCATCTTTCTTGTCTCGTTCTTTGACTCTCTGTTTGTTACCATTTGTTAAATCAATCTTTTTCGTTTGGTTACTATGGATTGATTTTGAATGTGTTTTTTTTTTTATCGTTCCACAGAACTTTCTCTCAAAAAATTGGATATACATTGAATTCTTCTGATTATTTTTCACAGAGGACAAGAAACGTTACAATAAACAAAGGTAAATAGAAGTTTTTAAAGAAGGGTTTTAAACCTCTTAGTACATGAATTCAGTTTAACGGCTGTTTCCTTTTATCACATAAACAGATTTCCCGCTCCAGTGCAACTCACCGCTACTCCCTGATAAAGAAACCGGTCTCTGCCGACCGCCGTGCGCCTGGACCACACAATCTCCTCTGACGCAGAAGGTTTACTTTGTGGTGATAGTGGTTGGTCTGTGGTTGGCACTCATTGCGACAATTATCACGTTTATCACTTGGGCCAGTATAAAAAACCTGTAAGTGTCTGTTAAAGCAAGTTCTTTTGATTTTCGAAAATATACTGGGATCGCACCGGCTTTGCTTCACACTGCTTTTTGATTGGTTCAGAAAACTGGCGCCAAAGTCAAAACCAATAGTAACTTGATTACTCGCGTCTTCCCGCGCTTGAAAACGTGCGGTACGCGTGTATTTACTTTATATTCTTATTGGCTTCTTGTGATATTAAGGTTGATTGGTCGTTGATTACTCTAATTAGAATGATCACTAGTGTTTGGTCTCTGGGCTTGCTGATTCGGTTTAATTCTTTTTTCCCTTTGCTTTCAATAGCCGAAAGTTTCCTCATGTTCTGCGATTTCATATCATGGTCTGTTGTGTTATCCTGGGTAAGTAATGCTCAACGTCTGGTAAGAGCTGATAATTTGCAATTTAGACTTTTTTCTATTTCTTTTTAGCAAGTATTTAAACAAGAGGGTCTAGCGCAGAGCTGGAGATATCTCTTAAGTACTTTGTAAAAAAATCAAAACATATCCTCGCCTCATCATTCTCAGTAAGCCACATAAATTGGAAAAATTGAAACTCTGAGTTTTCTCAACTGTTTTTTTCTTTTTTCAATAATGTACAGGAAACAGCAAAATGCTTCCCATGCACATGAGGCCAGAAAAGACATTCTGCCGAGGTCAGCTTTTTTGGGAGTCCACTGGTCACTCTTCGTTAGCCACCGTAATTCAAGGTAAAGAGAGCAATTTAATGCCATGCGCCATCGATAAAGCTACTATTACCACAAAAGAAATGTTTTGTCTGAGCTTGTGGGGACAGAAAATGAAATGCAGACGAACCTCGACTCCACAGTGCTTTTTCGTTCACAGGTGATAGTCCCCTTGGGGAAATATGGGATGATGGTCGAAAGTCTTGTCATATAAAGACAGTGGGGAAAATCTTTCTCAGTCTTAAACAAATCTTGGTTTGTCACTGCACAGTACCATGGTAAAAAGAAAGGCCGATGTTTTAAAGAAACACGAGCTCTCCTCTCAATTTTCATCACAGCTCTTTCCACCACTTTCCGTCCTCGTTCTTCAAGCAAATCTTTGGGAGGGGGTGACGAGGTGGTTGGAGATTTGCAGGTTTATTGTTGGGTCTCCTGATGCCTTGAACTTGATAGCTGTGACCTTAGGCATCCTTCTCTAATCCTTTAGTCAAAACAGTCTGTTCTTTGTTAAACAGGTGCAATGTCTCACTATTTTGGCCTGGCACATTCATTCTGGGCCATGTGTTTCATAGCAAACACTTATGCTGTAATCGTTCGCGATAATCGAGCCGTCTTCAAACATCCAATCAAAATTCACTTCATACAGTCGGTATTTTGCTGGCTTGTGCCTGCAGTAATTGTGACCTGCTGCCTCTATATTTCTCCACCTGGATACAAGTTCCTCTTTATAGATCTAATGGCTGCAGGAGCCGCAAGTGCACGAATGGCGTACTTTGCTGTCACATTACCAATGCAAGTAACGCTCGGAGTGTCACTATGTCTACTGTGGAGTATTGTGTGGCATCTCAGAAAGGTACGTACAGTGAGAATTTTTTATTGGTGAAACGGCTGACCTAAATTAGAATGCATGCTCTTGTTGTATATGGGGAAAAGTATTGCGCCAATAAGAGTGTATCTCGGCATAAAGCTTTCACCTATCCCCTTTACGAGTGAAAATGGTATGTCCCCTTTGGGGTAAAACCCTGCCCTCTTAAAAAGTGGTAGCAAACAAATGTTCATATCTTTTTTGTTCACGCAGGCTCGCTTGGATTCTAGAAAGCGCGTTATCCGCGCCAGAGAAGAAAGAATTTCCATGCGGCGAGTTGAGCGCCAGTTCCTGAGCATGGCAGTAGTAATTACGGTGGTAATGGGTGTGGTTATGTCGGTGAACACTGTGACGCTCTATCGCGTGAGGGGTTTTGTGCATGATGCTGAAGTTTACTTCGATTGTTTACAGGTAAGGCTACTCTAAACGATCAGCAAACTGTTGAGCTACTTTTATGTGAAACCTGAATAATTTTGTTGCCAAGTTGAAGGAGGTTAGTTTTGGGAGAATGGTGGCTAAATCCTTTGTTGCATTTCATTCCTAACGTACCAGTCGGAGTTCAATTTTAGCCCCTATGGGAGTCAGTGTATTGCGTATTTGGCCAGTTGACCACTCCTTCCCCTTGACCCACTGATCAGTCCAGGCACTCCTAAGAAATGCTTTGAGGGTAAGTTATAATGAACTAACATCTCATTTAGCGGGATAAAGGGAGGGGGGAGGGGGGATGAGGAAGCGGTCGTCGCTTTCCCATTGGCTAAATCCTCATTTTACGAAAACCGTGATAACTCAAGCAGTCGTGGTCTTCGACAAACTGATCTGTTTCCAGTTGTTCATAATTCTTAGTGCGATAACGGCTTTTTATCCTTATTTTTAGGTCTCTAAGAACTGCAAGCCCCCATCCTGTAACACGGTGCTACCTCTGATAAACGTAATAGCCCCTGCCATCGCTTGTCTTGCATTCTTCTTCCTTCTCCTGATGAATAAAGATTGTCGCAACATTTGGAGGAGCTGCTTCCGTGGATTTACAAAGCTTTTTGAGTTTTGTAAACCACCTCCACTAAAAATTCGCGCAGATACAGACCGCTCAAGATGTTCCTCAACACTCACTGTGCTTTCCACTGATCGCAGGGATTCGGAGTTGTTCTTTCGACAATCGTTCGTGTTACCGGGATATGTCTCAGGATTGGACCTTCAACAGAACCGGCAAAGAGCGTCTACTTTAACTTTCCCTGTCAAGAAACAAGAACTAACTGTCACAGATTTAGGTATCGAAATAAAAGTTACTCCTCCATCAGACGCAGACGTACAATTGCGAGCCAGGTGCAATTCTGTTCCTGTATTTTTGCTGCAAGATTTAGATTCACACAGACGCTATAATAAAACTACGATCCATTCATCCACTGAGTCACTTTCTAGTGACCACAGTGGGGTATCGGTCACTAATAGCGAAACACCGTTGGGAACTGGGGAGAGTTTCATCCAGGAAATATATTCTTCGAAATTATAGCTTAAACTCGTTTAAAGGAATGGTGTTAAGACGAGAGGTGTACTACAGTTGGTGATAAAGTGATGAGACAGAACTCAATATACGTGGTTTTTAGTTTCTTTCGTTTTTTCTTTCGTTACATCTCCTTGGGAGAGAGAAGGGGACTACCTGCTTGTTGCTAAAATATTTCCCACGGTTGTATAGGCAAAGTTGTGAGGCTTTGAAAGGAGACAAAAAAGAGATTAAGCTAGAGTCGTTATTGGTGAAATGGCAAGATTTTAATTTTCCTTGGAGCGTTTCAACGTCACGTTTCAACTGCCTCTGTCGCCAACTGTAGTAGATCTCGAACAAAAAGATAAAGAAATTGTTCTTTTTCCTTCCCCAGAAATCGATTTCGTATTGTAATGTAAATAAAATATGTACATATGGCATTTTTGAACAGATTGATGTACATAAGTAATTGTATATTTTATAAATTTTTTTGAAATGTACTATGCTAATCGCAAACCTTTTTTCATTTTTTAAAATTTCTCTTTACTAAATATTTAGGTCACCCTTTAGAGAAAAATTTTACGCGTGAACCCAAGTTAGCGCTCAAGTCAGGTCAAGCCAGTGACCCGTGTTAAAAAAGAAAGAAAGAAAGAAAAACAACAATCATTTGTCGCTTTAACGCTCATATCGCTACTTTTATGAAGAATATTTCAAAACTTCTGATGAGGCGTGAAACAGTGCTAGTGATTTAAAACTTATGATGGTCAAATGAACTAAAACGTAAATCTAGTGCATTTCAATAAAGATGGATGTAAGTAATAATTATTGACGTTTTGAACAGCCGAAAATGAAATAAATTTGCTTTGAGCTACTGCGATTTGCCCTATTTCAATCTAGATAATGAATATTTGTCAGAGAGACCTTTGACATTTTTAGTAGCTATCTTTACATTGGTATCACTGACATCATTCGCGCGTTGTCCTCTTCGCGTTGCATAGTCGGTATAGTATAATTAGATTATTTAACGAGGAGAAAACGAAGAACATTCATCAAGTATTGTATCAAAAAAAGGTCAAATCAAAATCAAAAGGAATCGTATCTGGTGTCAGTCTTAGCATTCTGAATAGTCAAACCTGTTCAAAATTTAACCGGAAAATTGACCGGGATCGATAACAAATCAAACGAGCAGCCCAAAGTTGTAAAGCTTTCAAATGATTAAGTGTTTTTGTCTTCAATCGATGGTCAAGCTCAGAGACTAATCAAACTAATCGGGTGAATGACGCACAAAGAGGAGGATTCTAAAAATAAATGACAGATGACAGCCTTACATCTACATGTAATAGTTTACCGGAAGTTGACAATACCACGTACACTCGCGAGTGGGAACAGTTCCAAAGGTCCTTTGTGTGTTCCTTTCACTCTTTGCTTAATGTTGACAGCTGTACAATTTGGAAAAATAAAGCTTACTCATTAAGCTTGGCGTTTCCTGATTGACATCGAAAGAATTCTTCGGGATTCAGCAAACTGTATGCTTTCCATCACCGCAAGTCATTAACGCGTATCACCTCTGTGCAAATACGTCACTTAAATTGGTATAAGTTTACATCTCACGGTCATAATCGTGTCGTCACTGATGTCATTTCGCGGAGCGTTTCCTACTTGACCCGTGACTAGAAACTCTCTGCTCTCTGTGTACTGATCATTTTCAAAACAGCTTTTAACAGCCGCACTAGTGATAATCCCCTCGTGAACACAGCTTCAACTGAAAAGTCACGGTGTTGTGGATCGATGATGTCTCGGTTAAACCTTCCTTATTACGCTGGCCACTTATTTCTTCTAATTATCGTAACAGCGCCGACATTATTTTATGTTTTTCGCCCGGATCATCCGCCCCACTCCGATTTATATGAGTAAGTATTGAACTGAATATACGAACAGTATCAATGATGTAGCTAAGGCTTTTTATACAGATATTGATATAGATAAATTTCTCTTTTAAATTGCTCTGATTGGAAAGTACAGGACCGCAGTCAAATTTTCAAGATTATCTTTATCAACACCAAGGACCGCTATAAAAACATGCTAAGAAGGTTTAATTCATACAAGACTCAAGACTCATTGATGGTAGAAATTGAGGTGGATATGGCTTAAAGAGGTCTTGTTCAGGCACGAATTGTTGCGGGCTGCGAGTGTCAATCGCTACATGCTTATGCATACGTGATCATTGTGTTGAAGATCAAACTTTTTGTCATAAGTTGAGCTGTTCGTAAATACAGACGTATTATATTATATTGCTCTTTCGCATGTTTCAAAGTTTTCTGGCTCACAGTGATCGACAGTCTCGGGAAGATCATAGAAATCAAATGTCGTCTGTTGAGTTTAGACACTGTACTCACGCGCATATCCACTTTGAGGTGTTGTCTTTCCCGTGATGTTTAAAATCAGAATTTGTGAGATATCCTCGCCTGAAACAATTTGAGTAACTTTAATCGATTTTTAATAGAGTAGATGCAACTTTTCCTGATGATTGCCACTTAAGTCCGCCAATTAACCAAGAAAACCGATCAGTGACAGACTAAGCAAGGCTACTTTCTCTTTCTATTTCTCGTGTTTCGAACCGGGCGTCCATTTCATCGAACGAGGATTTAACGCTGGTCATAACAAAGAAAATGCGAAACTGAAATAAATCGGACGCTTTTTCGCTGAATCATTATACGTTTGGCTTCGTGTACTGGATGAATGTTTGAGATGTAAACAACGTTGACCAGGCTAATTGAGATATTTTTGGCAAATCTATAGGAACGTTTTAAAAAGTAACAAGACGTGATGTTTACAAGACGTGATGTTTACGATACGTGATGTTTATGAATAGATTGGCTGACTTAAAGTGATTTACAGACATACTTTTCTTTTGAAGTACGATTCTCTTAATCAGAATATTTTCAGGCATCTGTGCCAGAGCAATTTTTGTAATATTATTATACAAATGCCACATCATCACGTCGTCAACGTCACGTAAGAACTTTTGTCAGGAGTAATTTTTGTACATTTATTTACCCATTTATTTCATGCTCGTGCCTGTTATCCCGAAGATTGGGACGAATTTCTCCGAGTTATTATTCATGACCTTTTCTGTTTTATTACAAGTGGATTTACTTGAGTTTTGATTGTTCACTTCCAGCTGTCAGTTCTAAAGCAATACTAAAGCATTTACAAAGTTAAAATCGACTTGAACACCATCTGTTAGGTGATCGTTGACGTTTCATCGATGAGTAAGCTTCATGAAATAATTGTGATGACAAAAATTTTACCACAGCAGCGATTTAACGTGCAAAACAAACCCAAATTTGTTCTCTAATGACTCACAGGTAGACTTCAAATAATGCCTCCGGCAACATACAATGGTGTTCTGTTGATCGAGGTCAAAGTTACTTTTAATAGTACTTGATTGTTTCACCTCTTGTGGAGAAGTGATCTAGTCAGTTTAATTTGCCCCATCCCCCATTCAAGGTGGTTCCTAATTACAAACAATTTTGATGCTCCTCCAATGTTTCCTATTTATGCCCTGCTTTGATTGACGTTATTCCCTCTTGAGTTTTTCAAAAGTGTTTTACTGTTGTCAAGCGATTAGACATAAAAAACCATAGTAATTTCCGTAAAAGCTGATCACCGCTATAGCCGCATTCGTCACGTGACCTGTAGTGGAATAACAGAACTGAGTTTGTACATTACCCTCTGAGATTCGGTAATGAGGGAAGGCCTAAGTCTCTTTCTGTAATTCTTTTAATAGATCTAATTTCACAAGGACAAATCAAACATCTAGCAACAAAGGTAAATTGAAACTTTCTTGTCTTTTTACTAATCTAGCAACTGTGAAAACGTTCGACTGAAATCACAGTAATCAATGCAAAATACAATATTATTTCTATTATTAGACGCTGGTACTTCTGTTTTGTTCCGTCAAGAAAATCAAAGAGAAAAGGAGAAAACGTCTTGTTCAATTTCACCGTAAGTGTAGATCAAGGTTTTTATGAGTCATTGTTAAAGCTCTTTATTTCTCTTTTCCGTAACAGATATTCCGCTTGAGTGCAACTCTCCCCTAATCCCCGATAACGATACCGGCCAATGTCGACCGCCGTGCGCCTGGACTTCACAGTCTTCTTTAACCCAGAAGGTGTACTATGGCATTGTTGTGATCGGTCTGTGGTTGGTGGTTATTGCAACAATCATCACACTCATCACCTGGGCCAGCATAGAAAGCCTGTAAGTTTCGCTAAAGATATTAATCTGGAGCAAGTATTTTTCAACTAATTAGTGTTCTCCAGAAACCCAAAGGTTACCAGAAATATTGCGAAATCTGCGGAAGGATTGTTAATTATTTTTTGAAATCTCAGCTTGAGTTCACGTTATGTTTCTAATCCGAACTAACTTTGTAATACATTCTTTTCCTTTTTCAGCCGCAAGTTTCCTCACGTGTTACGTTTTCATATCATTATATGCTGCATTTTTCTTGGTAAGAAGTCGTGATGCTTGGGGAGATGTTCTCCTTACAAATTGTAGAGGATGTGGATATATTTTGCGTCGGGTTTTGAACCATGTTGAAGAGATCGGTGTGGATGAATACAATGAGTTTGTGATTAACATTCTTGACAATCACAAGGCCTTCCGGAATAGGTTTAGCAGGCAACAGTTGACGTGTTGGACTAATAAAATGATGTAAAAAAGGAATCATGCGCACAAGCCGAGTTTCTGTAACCTTTTAATTTCATAGCTTGATGTTACTACAAGGCGATACCTCTGCAGTGTGAGTCCATGATAGGCTACTCTCCCTCCCTCCCCCCCCTTAGCCCCCCACCACTTTACTGCTGGATGGAGAGAGGCATTGTCGAAGTCAACTAGTGTAAATCTTTCAAGTTTCGACAGACTGACGAAGCGCTGTAACATGTTAAGGATTGATTATGTTTAACACTTCGACTTAACTGCCTTTCTCTTTTACTTAGCTTGCTTCAAAATGATTCCTGTGCGGATAGGACTTGAGAAAGTTTTCTGTGGCGAACAGGCCTTTTGGCAGGCAGGAGGTCATCCCTCGCTCTATGCAGTAATTCTAGGTATGATCTAGACACTCACTCTATCCTAGTTGTTCAGTTTTTCATAGATTTTTGCCCAGGTATTTGTTTGTAGAACAAACTTATCTACATGTACATGAACACATTTTGAGGTTTTTAACTTATTGATAATAGTAAACCCTCACGTAGACATTGAGCTTTTTATTTCGATAGCCAACATGACTTCTTTTCAACGAACCTCAAAACATTTCGCGTCCAATCCACTTGAGGCGATCCTAAAATATTCCATTAAGGTAGGAGTCGCGAGCAATCCGTTCACGGGGCAGAAATCCTTAAAATTACAAAAAGTTGAGTCAAAGAAGAATGTGTTCTTTTTTACTGGTCTAAATCATCGAGGATAAACTGTGAATGATTCACTGGCTTATTTTTAGTGGGGCTTCACCTACTTCTTCCTCGAGTTCGCATTCTTGTACGCTAACGACTTCATCTCTTTGTGAATGACAGGCGCGGGGTCTCATTATTTTATTCTGGCACACTCGTTCTGGGCCATGTGCTTTATAGCGAATACTTACGCCGTGATCATTCACGACAACCGAGCTGTCTTCAAACATCCAATCAAAATTCATCTGATGCAGTCGGTGCTGAGCTGGCTGGTGCCTGCATTCATTGTGGCCGGATGTCTTTACTTTGCTCCACCCGGCTACACGTTTCTCTTTATGGATCATATGTCTGCAGGTGCGCAGAGCATTCAAATGGCTTACTTCACCTTTACGCTACCCATGCAAGTCACGATATATGTGTCACTTCACCTACTCTGGTCCATTGTGTGGCATCTTAGAAAGGTAAAAATTTTGCTAATATACTCAAATTATAATTTTACCGCTATTTTCCTACTATCTTGTATTTTTATGAACTTTTCTCCTGAAAAATTCCCCTGCTTCTTGTCTGCATTTTCTCCTAAATTGATATCAACTGTTTACATGACCGAATTTCTCGTGTTCATATTCAAGTTTACGGCTCTCTTCAACTCTGTGTCAGAATCACTTTTTGCGGAAGCTAATAAGTTTCCTCTGAATAAGGTTCTCAGTGCAATGGACGTGTCTATAAATAGGGATGGGTGGAATTTTTCCCATAGGCACCCCATGACCCTCGTTGAGTTTGTGTTCGCGTCCTCATGGCACCCCTCGCGAATGAGTGCAGTTAACAGCGAAAGGCACTATTAGCCCGAGATAACTCACTTTTGATGTAAGATTGCATGTATTAAAGACTGTTACCAATTTTTTAAAAAAATTGAAACAGTTTATTGATGTTGTTGTTTTTTAATTTATAAGGCACGCCTGGACGCGACCAAACGTGTTATTCGCGCTAGAGAAGAGAAAGTTTCCATGCGCCGAATCGAACGTCAGTTTCTGAGCATGGCTGTTGTAATTCTGGTCGTAGCGGCAACTGTTACGTCGATCAATACTATGACCTTCTACCGTACGGACAAATTTGTGCATGGTGCTGAGATGTACTTTCATTGTCTGCAGGTAAATAAGCTGAGAGACATTCTTCCATTGATGGTGCCATTGTGATTCATGTTTCACTTTTCATTTCGTAATTCAACACCGAACCCCCTCCCCCATCCCCTCACAGTTTTTCCTGTATCTTTCCTCGAATAATACTGTCGCATAGGCTGAGACTTTTTACGGCAAAAAGAGCACTCTTTGCTCCCCATATACGATACTCAAGGGTGACCCTAATTATATTTTTGGCTTTCACTTTACTGATACTTCCACGTGATTTTTTCTCGTTGTTTTAGACTTCAAGTAATTGCACTTCTCCCAGTTACTTTACGGTGCTTCCACTGATCAATTTAGTCGCCCCAGGCTTCCTCTGCCTGGCGTTCTTCTTCCTGTTACTGATGAACAAAGATTGCCGCCAGATATGGACGGGTTATTTCGCTAAATGCAAAAAGTGTTTCCAGCTATGTGGAGAACCTTTGAGAAAACCTCGTGCCGACACAGAACTCAGTAAAGACTCAAGATGTTCCTCAGTTCTCACTGTGTTGAGTCCAGATCGCAGAGGATCGGAGTTGTACGGCAGCCAAACATTAGTTGATCCTAAGAACAGAATACTTCCATCTTATCCCTTGCCGCGAAGCGTTACCAGATTAAAAACAGAAAGCGTAATACTGGTAGGGATAAAACCTAGAGCATCCACGCTAAGTTTGCCAGTGATGATGAGTCCAAAAGTGACTATTTCAAATTCAACTTTCCAGGTCCCTCCATCTCCAAATGAGTTGGACCCACGATCAAGAAGCAGTTCAGTACCTGTAATTCTTCAACAAGAATCAGAGACAGCTAGCACCGAGAATAAACAAGGACGCGTAACCTCGCATATTCTCAGTACACTGTCACGAGATTTGGAAGTTTCGAGGAGTATGAACAGTGAGGATTCTGATGCAAATAGCGAAACTGACAAATTCATCCCGAAAAGTGAAGAAACTTCTTCCCCGTCATAACAAATAAAACGAGAAGCTTAAAATAACAATCGTAGACGCTGAGGCTTCAAAAAAGAGAAAGGCCTTTCAATTATTTAAATTTCAGTAGTTTATGGGTGTACATTACTGAAAACAAAAATTTTAAAGTTAATCACTGTTATATATTTTCCGTTCACTTTATCTTTGAGCAAAGCGATTGAAAGTGGATGCAATTTAATTTTCAACAGTATTTCCTATCGTTGATAAATTAAGTGTAGTTTGAGTGAAATATCGCGGCCTAACTTGTGTATAGGAGAAGCTTTGATAATGAAAAAGACGTCGTCGCATCGACGGTGAAGACAATAATGATAATGACCAATAGCCACTTTTAAACGTTCAGTTCGTAACACGAAGCGCGATAAATGGGACGATAGAGGCAGAGGAGTGAAAAATCGAGCGGTACGCCACCCGACCCAAACTTCCTTCGTTTTTTGCTCTGGGATTACGTACCGTTATACTCACGAAGCCTGGAATAGGCTAGATTATGACATGCTGTAGTCGTGATTGTGATGACGGCAATAATGTAACAATGACGAAGTCAAAGACGATGACGATAATGGTAATGATGGCGAGATGATGTAGAATAAATATTTATTGTCGTGTGTTGAAATATCAAAGATATTTGTAAATATTAATTTATTAAAGTGTAGCGTATGGATAACACCAATGGCTTATATAGCCCCCTTTTTTTGTGTATAAACCAGACACACCCCACGATAACTCTATTCCTAACGCTCGAAGCGTCAGCTTTGAAATTCTTTACCAGGGCTGTAACCAAACTTCAGAACAAGACGAGGCAAGTTTCGAGCGCCAAAGGCGCGAGCCGCTCACGGGAGGTCTGGGGGCATGCCGCCCCAGAAAATTTTGAAATCTAGAGGTTCAGAAATGCTCTTTTACGCATTTTCCGTGGCATTTTTCTTCAGAAAAGTCAATCTCTCAATTGCTTCGTCTTGCCTCATGCCGGCCAATTTACATTATCCACTCAGTCGATAAAACCAAATTATTTAGCAAATAAGATAATTTGATATTATCAACTGAGTTGATAATGTAAATTGGCCTCCATCGAGAGTCTCAAAGCTGACGTTTCGAGCGTTAGCCCTTCGCCATTCGCTCTGACGAAGGGTTAACGCTCGAAACGCCAGCTTAAAAACTCTCTGCGGTGGCCATTGTACATTATCAACTCAGGTAATAAAACCAAATTCTCTTGTTATACTCACCCACCGACGTAGCACCACAGTTTCTTTACAAACTTTCCCCCTTTTGTTTATTTAGTAACTGGCCCTCAGCAGCAAACTTCTTTGGAAACTTACCTCGGTCCCTCTTTCCTTTCCTTACATTTGTTTCCTATATCAGATTTACGTGAGCGTTCCTTTTTTGCCCATATTTTGTTCGGCAGGAAAAATAATTGGTGCGGGAAATAATTGGTGCGTGCCCTGCTCGACGTTAAGCCGCTGGTATTCATGTCAGTTGTATTGGCGGCTCGTAAACCCTAAACTATAACAGAGATCAGCGGATTTATTGAATGGGTATGTAACTCATGTCAAGAGTGTCAACAGGAATCAACTTTGTTACATAATAACCCGAGTCATGGACTCGAAGCGTAAAATGAAACGATCTGGAAATATTCAAGAACCAAGTAGCATTACAGATGGCAGTGAGTCTGGAAGTATGTTGTTACGGGTTCAACATGCTCAGTCGTTGCTCACAGCCCTAGAAAACATGCGAAGACAGGAAGAACTGTGTGATGTGGAACTCGTGGTGGCCGGTAGAGAAATCAAAGCACATCGCGTTATTCTAGCCGCTGTGAGTCCTTATTTCAATGCCATGTTTACGAGTGATGTTGTAGAAAGCAAACAGAAGGTCGTGCATTTAAATGATCTGGAACCTTTGGCAGTTCAGACGGCGGTGGAATTTGCTTATGTAGCTAGAGTCAACATAACGGTTGACAATGTCCAGTCACTTTTGACTGTCGCGACTTTGCTGCAAATGGACACCTTGACGGAAAAGTGTTGCTATTTTTTAGAGAATGAACTCCATCCTTCAAACTGTCTCGGTATACGGCGTTTTTCCGAGAATCACGGCTGCTTTATGCTCAGCAAAACAGCCTACGAGTATGCTTTGCGAAATTTCAACCACACTACACAAATGGAAGAGTTCTTTCAATGTCCTTTAGAGGAAGTTCTTAAACTACTGAGTGAGGACTCTCTGTATGTGCGGCACGAGGAAGAAGTGTACGAAGCTGCTTTACGATGGGTGAACTACAAGAAACAAGAAAGACTTAAGGCAGTTCCCCAAATAGCTGAGACGATCAGGTTCCCCTTGATGGCTTGGGAGTTCCTTGTAACAAAGGTATTGGATGATGGATTTATCGCCAGCAAAGGCGACAGCTGTCATCTATTTGAGGAGGCCAGGATGTATCATCTATGTCCTCAGTTGCGAAGTGACATAAAATGTGGCAGCCGATTTCGGCCACGGAAATTGTATGGTCAGGCAGAGTGGATATATGTTATGGGTGGGGAAATTAATCCTGGTGAGCATAAAATTAATTTTCAGCCCTGGCCCGGGTTGTTCAAAGCTGGGTTAAGATAACCCAGGGTAAGTGTGAAATTTGAGTGCAGTTCTGAAGGCTTTAAAAGAAAATTCAGTTCAAATATTTTTGCTTGCAACTTGATCATTGAATGGTCTGGAAAGGAATGGGGAAACTCTAGCCTAAAATACTTTTGAACAAAGAAATAAAGAAACCTGTATTAAAATTTAATCCTGGGTTAGCACTGATCGGCCTTCAAACAACTGGGTGCTGGTCTTCTCCTAGTGTGAAAAAAAAAAGAGTTGAAGTGAAAATTTTGTTTGCATGCCTCTTTGCCAGCTTATATGGATGTTGCAAAAAAGTTTTCTTTTGAATTATGGTGAAAGTTATAAACTTCAAACTCATTTAAGTTGTCTGTTCATGGTGCCCTACCAGTTTAAGCAAATGTTTTGTATATGGGGTTAGTTTTTCAACATCTGTAGTGCTGTGTTGAAGTGGGGAGGGAGAATCTTGCAAGTTGATTTGGTTTCATCCACTGGGTTGATAATGTAAATTAGCCAATGTAGAAAATTTCTAAAGCTGATGTCAGAAGATTAATACTCAAACATTAGCTCTAAAGACTCTTTATGGTGGCCAATTTCATTAACAACTTGGTAAGAGGGTGCTTAATCAAGGGAGAAGGGGATGCACCTATTATTTCTCCTGTGCTGATTCCACTTTAGTTGAAGCTTCAAAAGGTAGAAACTTTGAGGCAATATAAATGGCTTATCCTTGGATCCCTACTGTTTAAGAAAGTGAGGGTGGAGGGGGGTGTTTACTCAAGAGAGGCACTTGTTGACATTTCAGCTCGGGGGGTGGGGGTGGTGCTTATTAGAGCATGGGTGCATATTCAAGGAAATAAGGTAACTTTAGGGGAACTTAAATGCCACCTCATCTCCTACAATGCTATGCTTTTAATCAATTTACTTTACGTAGTCTGTGTATTTTGGTTTTTATTATTGTTCTGTTAAAAATTTCTTATCTTGATTTATTAATTATGGCTACTACCCAATGACTGAATGAATGAATTTTAAGGGCGATGCACAATGAGAACTGTGGAAAAGTACAACCCTACATCAAACACATGGTGTGAAGTATCATCAATGTCAACCCCTCGCCGAGGACTGGCTGCAGCTATTTTAGATGGTATTCTGTATGTTGTTGGTGGATCAGATGGCATAGCTGCCTTGAATCAGGTATTGATCATCATTATTAGCCAGTTTCTGTATGTATAAGGGTGACTAACAGTACATTGAAAAGGCTTTGATCTTGCTGAATTGTAATACAATTGAATTGTATTGCAATCTCAAATTTTGGTCAGTCTTTGTGATATGTCTTAAAAGTTCATTTTTAGTGCATTTTATTTTGGTCTTGGAGTTATTAAATAGGCAATTTTCTTTACTTAAACATGTCACTCCTCTCATTCAGAGGGTTGATTATCTTCAGTCCTCCCCCCCTCCCCCCCTCATATCCTTCTGTCTCCCTTTCCTTAACCTGGTTGTCACTGGCATTCCTTCCCAAAGCTTCCTTTTCATTGCATTTCTTTATTTCTTCCTTCTTGTGCATAACAAATCTCTCACAGGTAGAACAGTATGATCCAAGCTCTGACAAATGGTCTCCTACTACAAGTATGATTGAACACAGAAGCAGTGTGGGCATAGGGGTTCTTGATAGCTTTCTTTATGCAGTAGGAGGGTATAATGGACAAGTCACTGTTAACACAGCTGAGAGATATAATCCACGAACTGGAGAATGGAATATGATCACTGAGATGAACACAGTACGCAGCATGCTTGGAGTGGCATCCCTGAATGGTCAGCTTTATGCCATTGGTAGGTTGATCCAGTATTCAGAGAGATCAATATCTGACAAACGCTTGAAGAAAACTTAATGATGATCTGTAAAAAACATTTTCCTCAGAAGATATGGGAAGAAGACTGGGGAAGGTTGTTTGAACCCTGAATAGGATTTATCTAGGGCTAATTGCTTGCAAAAAGCTTTATGTTATCATGAAAGCTTTTCCTGAAAATACATGTAGTATCAATCTTGCTGCAAAAATCCCTGGTCTTGAGTTATGAAATAAATCTCTATTAACTGTTATGTACTGGCTGGTAGCTGTGCTAGTTAACTCCTGGTTGAAGATAAGCATTTTACTAAGTTTTATGTTCCTATTGATCCAAGCCTGTGAGCAGGCACTAACTATTGATTCCACATAAGCATTTTGTTGCCCTTGGGAAATTACGAGGCATTTAGCAATGTGAACTGGCGAGAGGTTTGCAAGGAGTCTAGGAGTGTGATTTCCTTGTTTTCCATGTCCTTGCCAAGCCACATATGCTGGTAAATTTTGATACATTTTTCCTCAACAAGTTTTGTTTGTATTTTTAAGGTGGCTATGATGGTGTGACAGACCTCTCCTCTGTAGAGTTTTATAGCAATCAAACCAACCAGTGGCAGGTAGTGTCATCCATGAAGACTCCACGTTCTATGGCGGGTGTGACAGTTTTAAATGATGTTTTGTTTGCTGTGGGTGGATGCAATGGTCAGAGTTTAGAAAGTGTTGAAATCTATACACCCGAGACTGACACCTGGATGATAATTGCTCCCATGAAAGAGCCTCGTAGTGGTGTGGGGACAGCTGTTATTGATGGTCTGTTGTATGTTCTTGGTGGTTATAATGGAACAGATTATCTTAATAGTGTGGAGGTTTTTCATCCTCAGAAAAAACGATGGACCTCAGCAACAAATATGAAAACAAATAGAAGACGATTTGGCTGTTGTTCATAGCTTGCTTAGACCACAGAAGTGTTTACTTTGATTGATCATCTCATTTTTTTAAATTTTAAAAGAAATTTAAGTGAACTGCATGAGCCCAGTTGTTTTTCAATCTACAGTATTAAGGGCTAACTGATGCTGCAAAGATGTTCTGTTATTTTTTCAAATGGACAATTCTGATTTAACTCTTTCAAGCACTAGTCCTGATTGAGTTGTAATACACCTGGTTGTAGGAAACAATAAATGGCTCTGATAAGTCAGGATTTTTGTTTGCAACACTCAATTTTCTCATAATACACTCACTGTCAAATTATTCAAAGGAATGGTAAGAGAAAAGGACACAAGCAACAGGGAGAGGACAGCTCTACTTTCACTTCATTTTAGATTTCATGTTAAAAAATTGAAAAATTTAAAATAACAAAACAATAACCAAAATATAAACTCAAGAAAAAAGTTAAGTGCTTCTTTAATTGTACTCAAACTACGACTCTTATGGTCTTTACATTAAAAAACAAATTTAGTGTTACAAATGGATTGTTAAAATGTCTGCTGTTGTTTTATGACAAACAAGAATCATTTATGAATTATCACCATAACTTTAAAAGTCCAGGAAAGTATTCGTGAATCCTAGAGACTTGGCTCACATTACTTGCAAATTAATGAAGAATCCTTTAGTATCAATTGGGGATACTGTTTTATGGAACAACAAGTTCTAAGAACTAACAAGAAATTTCTAGCAGATAGTAAAGGTAAAAGATATTGGGGTCTTGGCAGTAAAAAGGATGATTCCCAGAAGTAAATGAAATCTGGATCCTCTTTGTAATATTCATGATCAGCATTATCCAGCTCACAGGTGAAAATAGACAGTAACTTAGCGACTAGACGGTGTTCTCTTGTTTAGCCAAAAAATTCTCTCACAAAGTCAAAAGAAAAAATATTGAGAAGCACAGCTTAAGGATAACTTACTAAAATCAAAATTCTTGCAACTAATTTACAAGGAAATGTGTGGCAGCTGAAAGTGAGAATTAACAATCAGATCTTGGGAGTTACAGGGTTAACACTATTTTCCTAAAACAAAAGGTATTTCAAAGAAAGAACCCTATAAGTATAAGGTTTTGAGGGATAAACTTGAGGTTTCAAACAGTGTATAAATGCATGTTTACCATTCTTCACCTTTGAAGTAAAAACTAACTGAACAATAATTTGGTATTTGTTCCACAAACATTCACTCATTAGTATTCCTGCCTCTTCTCATGCCAATAACATGATTCTCACACCTGTGGATTGAAAAACCTGATTTCACACCAACATGCCTGAGTACCCAAATCCGAATGCCTAGCAGAAAAAATCAAGGTAGTTCTGTACATTACTGAAAATGTCTCTCATGATATAAACTTAAATCAGTATCAAAGGAGATAAAATCATACAAATGATTGTAAATAACGTTAGTGCTAGAAAGTAAACAGCACCAGCTCACGTTTGCATCAACCCTGTAAGGGCATCCTCAAAAGTTTCCAAGTCTTTGCATTTGTAGAAAACATCTTCAGAAATTTCTAGGTATCACAGATCTGATCAGGTTTTCTTTGAGAATGATGGCAATCTGAGGATAAACATCTTGGAAAAAGAAAAAGGTAACTGATAAGGTAAAGTGAAACTTTCAACAAGACCTGCTTCACTGCAGTAACATCAATATAAAACGAACTAGAGGAAATTTCAAGTGATCTATGAAAATAAAATGAGAAATTGTCTGATCAAATTAGAATGTTATTTTAATACACTATGTATGCCATGTCTTCAAGTTCATCAGTATTAATCTTTCTTTTTAAGTTGCGCTGATAGCCAGTCAAGTCCTTCATAAAGACCATCTCCACTTGTTGCACATGTAGCTTGGATGTACCATGTGCGATTTCTCAAGCCGTGTAAACCCAGCTTGTCCGTAATTTCGGCTGCTTGCATCGCATTGGGCAAATCCTGTAAAGAAAAAATATATTAAGTTGAACAACAGGAGAAATGAATAACAAGACCTTGCGAGATGATTTATAAAATGTATTGTGGAATCTTACGCGGATATGCAGAATGTTACGGATAGCAAGAAGGAAGAGGAAATTACGAGTCAAGGTTAAACTGAATACCACGCCTGAGAAAAAATTGGTCACGACAGTTCTCATCTTATATCTGAATGAAATCAACTCCAGAGTTCTTTCCGTGTCTTTGTTTGCTGATATCGGTACTTATCCAAGAACTCCAAACTCTATACGAATCCTTAAATTCAAATCACTTTTTTACTTCGACAGTGTAAGAAAGTAAATTAAAAAGAGCAAGAAAACTCCATTGTGGCACAGTAGGAGGGGTGAACTGTCACAAATACCACAGCCTAGTTTCTCATAAGATCATGGGCCTCGTAAATTTAAGATGACAATAATAAACAGGAGCGCAAGAAAAAAGCACGGCTACGAAAGGTCGCTCAAGGTACCTGTTTGTTCGCAAAGACAAGAAGAGTAGCATCTCTAAGTTCATCTTCACCCAACATCCTGTTCAATTCGTCTCTTGCTTCGCCAACTCGCTCACGATCATTGCTATCCACAACAAATATTAGACCTAACAAGAGGAAAGCAACATAGAGATCGATAACTAGAACATTTCATACGAACAATGAACCAAAGATCAACGCAAGAAACTGCTTGATGACGATATTGCACAACATTTCGAACCGGCGAATGTACGGTACCTTGTGTATTTTGAAAGTAGTGTCGCCAAAGAGGTCTGATCTTGTCTTGGCCGCCAACGTCCCAAACTGTAAAGCTTATGTTCTTGTATTCTACTGTTTCCACGTTAAAACCTATGAAATTAAGTTTACGAATATCTCAAATACCAGAATCCACTTATCCATAAAAATTTACGCTATTGCGCGAACTGTCATGGCGTCCCGAAGCATCTCTTTGTACATACCAATTGTTGGAATCGTTGTGACGATTTCTCCGAGTTTAAGCTTGTAGAGGATGGTCGTTTTCCCAGCGGCATCAAGACCGACCATGAGAATTCTCATCTCCTTCTTGCCGAAGAGACCGGAGAACAGTTTGCCAAACACACTCCCCATGTTTCACAGTTGATCGCTCCTAGAAACCAAATCTGAAAACGCGAGAAAATATTGAGAAAAGGCGAGTCGGTAAAAGCTCTTGAGTGGTTTGATGCCACTCCTTGACAACAGGTATTTCTCTTGAAAGATCTAAGAATAGCAAGAACAGATATATTTCAAACCAGTTCGCAAAATATCGTAGACAAATTCTTACCACGTCGCCGCTTCAAACGCGTCCAACTGCCTACCTCGTTCCCAGAATCCTCGTCTCTTCTAGGAACGAGGCTCGATTTCCGCTACAGCGTTCGAGGTCACTTCCGGTCACCAGCAACTTCTTTAGAGGAACAAAGCTGTTCAGTAATAAACCATGGATACTCACAAAATGTGATAAAAACCCAAAAAAAGCAGTACAGGAGGGACAGCTGAGTGTGTCACTGTTATCCTCATCATATTTTGACGTCTTTTGAGATTTATTTAACAAATTGCTTAATTTTTTTCAACTGTGGTGATAATTGTAAACGTTTCGAGCGTTAGCGTTCGTCGGGGCGCCGGAATGCTAAAGCTTGAAACACCAGCTTTAGAATCTATTTACGGTGGCCAATTTACCATTGTCAACTCAGCGACGCAGCACTACAGTTTCTTTAGAAACTTAGCCCCTTAAAAAGTAAATCTCTTGAGTGGTTCAGTTTAGACTTTAGACTACTTACCTGAATTCGTTTTCATACTATACATATATACATATATACATGTGCATATGCATGCTCACTAGTTTTTCTAGTTTGAGCACTCTGGCATGGCTTAGATGATCCCACATGTGTGAGATCACTTGGGGTGGCTATATGGCCTCACCTCCATCCTAGCATCAGCACTGCACTGATGAGGCCCAGAAGGCCGAAACAGTACTGTCTGCAGTTACACACACACACACATATACATATATATATACATACATACATACGTATATGGTGCAATAGTGCATTAGCGATAGAACTTTAGCAAAATAAAAGTTGCTGAGATAATAAAATGCCTTCTATCGCTAAATGCCCTCTGAGCAGTTAATGTTATTGATTACACAAAAAATTTACATTTCTATGAAAATATAGCGGCGCTGAAACAATTAACTAATGAATGTGCAATGAGGTATGACTTCAGAACCATTGGATGGATCTTCATTTCCGGCCCTATTAAAATGACTTTGCCCAAGGATTATTATGTGTATGACTACAAGTTCACCCATATAAATTTGTTTTTTCAGTTGTGATGATAGCCAGTCAAGTCCTTCACATAAACCATCTCCAATCGTTGCACATGTAACTTGAATGTATGGTGCGATTTCTTAAAGCTGTGTAGGCTAATCTTGTCCGCTTTTTCAACGGCATTCGTTGCATTAGGTAAACCCTGCAAATTGGAAATTTTCTCCATTTACGAGTCTGAATTTAACCCTCATACTAAAACCCGAAATACTCTGTTAGCCCTAAAATACATAAACATCTCACATATTCTTCGACGGGAGAGGGAAATTTTGAAATCTGACATTGGAAACTCATATCTTCCCAATTTTCGTTTCTGATGGAACATGAAGTGCCAATTACGTAAATTTTCAACCCAAAAAAGAAAATGATTTAGTCAGCAGATAGTCTTAATCTTTTCACTTAATGTGCAACGAGAAAAGCGGTGTTCTCTTCTAGAGAGTAGAGTAATTTTGTCGAATGAAAAAGTTGGACAATTGAATAAAACGTGTCAACCCAATTATTGCTGAGGGTTGATCCACAAAAAGGATAACAAGTTTGGTTCAAAGAGAGTAAAATTTTAAAGCAGGGTTCATTCATCACGTCTGAAATAAGAATTAACAGCAAAACAGTAATTTTCAGTTGTATTTGTTAAACAAACTGTCATTTATAAACCTGTCACTTCTGGCTTCTATGTATGAGTCTCCCAGTAGTACATACCTTCTGACCAAATCCTCTGCATGCCTGCCAGAAAAGCCCTTCAGTGATCTGATGACACTCCCCAACTTGTCGATAGATTTTTATATCGTCAGCAAATAACTTGGCGGTAGATGTGATGATGTTAGGTATGTCGTTCACGTAAATGCGGAACATAATCGGCCCCAGTATTGAGCCTTAAGGGACTCCAGATATAACAGGCGACCATTCGGAATACGATCCACGTATCTGTCCTCTTTGTTTTCGGTTGGTTAGAAATTCCTAAACCACAGGTGCAGTTTCCCGTCTATACCGTACCTATTGAGCTTTAAAAGCAGGCGCCGCTTGGGGGACACTGTTAAACGATTTTGAAAGGTCCAGAAATATTACATCAGAAATTTTCGACGAATTTCTTGCTAAGCACCAGTGGTTATAACAGCTTACAAGTTGCGGCACTGCCGATCTGCCTTAGTTTTAAGCCATTTCCAGATAAGTGGAGCTTATATCAAGCTGCCAGTTAAAGTCATCACTCGATAAGCTGTCAATAAAATTCTGTTGCAGACTATAAGTCACCAATATCATGATATGCGTAGGGAGTGGTCCCTCAAGCATGGACTTGATGTATCTCTCGTCAACTTCGATTTCCATGCAAGACTCTGAAGTCTGAAAAGTAAAAGGAGAATATTTCAGGACTGGACGCTGGGTGATGAAGGAAACGCTACAGCATGCAGCACTGTCTCTGTACCACCTACCATTCGACCAATGCCAATGATGGAGGAACGTGCAATTTCAAACAGGAAATAAAGCTCTTACAGAGACCAAAGGCGACCATTACATGGTGTCAAGAGCGATGATGGAATAGACAGACTACAGATAGAGAACTGGACATTTTTCGAATAGAGCTGGTGTACCACAAGATCACCACAGAACTTAGACACCGATGGAAACGGATTGTCCAAAGATGCGATATTACAAAATGGAGCTGAAAGAACTTGCAATTTCAAACAACAAATAAAGCTCTTTCGCAAACTACAGACGACTATTACATGGTGTCAGGAAAGATGCTTTACGTAGCTTTTTGTCAAGTTGGATTTCCAAGAATGAATCTGAAGTCTTCCTCAGTAGAACATGACGTGGCAAAAAACAAAGAAGAAAAGTAGAACACTACGAGACTGAACGTTACATGATAAAAGTCAAGTAATCTCAATGGGGTGATGGCTTTTTTTTTTATCACCGTTAACGTTTAAATGTTTTTCCAGTTTACTTTTACGGCTATCAGTTCATTTCTTTCCGTTAAAGCTAGCAAATAATTTTCAGGTGAACTATTCTTACGTCTTACGGATAGAATTTATCAATTCTTACGCGTACCGGCTTATTTTTTCCGTCATTTTACGGCAAATGGTTAACTCCATTGAGACTCTCTAGTAGCACTACCGTCTGCCTACTACCACACACCCTTTGCCAACGATGGTCAATAATAATTAACAACTCGATGAGCTGTTAGTAAAGCTGTGTTGCGGACTACAAATGACAGTCACAAACGCGTCCAACCGCCAATCTCGCTCTCACAACCCACCCTGATCGTCTTAGGAGCGGGGCTTGATTTCCGCCACTCTCGATTTCATTAGGAACACGCCCAAACACCGTGAGCGGCTGGTTGTCGAGTCTGAAGTAGTGCACAGGTGATCTCCATACTTCAGAGGTTTTGTTTACTATGATATTTTGCAGGCTCTCCTGATCAATAGTGAATCCCAACCGGCCATTTAGCAATAGCTAGTCACGTGACCTAAGAATTGTTGCCGCACATTAACCTGAAGAGTCCAAGACACCTTGACTTCTTAGTTAATTTAGCCACAATGCAATTTTTTTTGTCGACCACTCAAAGGCTACGATCCTTAAAATGACGTCTACACGTTTCCGTCTGCTACAAACTACGGACTTTAGTCAAATGACACAACAGCGGTTTTCTAAGTAGTTCTTCTTCGAAGCCTAGGGGCCGAAATACAAACCGAAAAGTTCATATCCCCCTTTACAAATGCAAAGTGGGTGGTTCTGACTCTACTAGGTATTCCCTGGGATATCGAAACATTTTTTAGACATGCATTTGATAGAGATAAGTTGGTTACATGACTAATATTTGTAGTGCACGCAGTCACCTGGTGGCTAACATGACTATTAAACACAAATCTCCAAAAAGAATTTTATTAGAATTTGCTTGCACTTGTCTTCAACGCAAGACAATAGCTCTGTCAGATATCAGTTGAAAGTATTTTTTAATATTACTATTAGACAGACACAGAGAAATAAGAGTAATCTTGAAAAACCCTTCAACAACAACAGCCATTTTTCTTAAGTAAACCCTCAGTGCTGCTCTAACATACCAAGTTCAAGCCTCTCCAGAGCACACATCGCTTCAGTATTGGCAACTCATTTTGGATCTTTGATGACTTTGTGTATACCTTAGCAAATACTTGTCACCAGAAAAACTCTCACAGGAAAATGCAAAGCAATAGAGTACATGTATGTACAGTAATCTCATACTAGCTCACTGTATATTGCAGATGTCACAGTTAAGTACAATTGTTACTGGATTCTGATGTTTGAAAATGCTTGAAAGAAAACACTCTCAAGATTTGCAGTCAAGAGGCAAACCTAGGGAAATTTAAAAATCAAAAATGCTTCTTTTGACAAAGGCATGCAAAATAGGCAACATTTAGATATAATACTTTATTTGTTTTACATGGAAAAAATAACTCAGCATTAACATGCAGCAGGCTTGTCTGCAGAACTTGTACTCCAGATTGGTAGATGATTCCACTGAAAACTATTTTGTGATGTTATTAACATACTTACTTGAATATTTGCCATTTTATGGTACAACAATGAATAACAAATGGCAAAGGGAAAGTTGCTCGGACATTGAAATGCCTTGTATTGCTGAATGACCTCTCAATCATCGATTTTACTAACAGCGAAAAAATGAACAGTCTGTTTAATTACTTTCTATGACAATAAAGCAGTGAAATAATTAACTAATGAATGTGCAATAAGGCATGATTTCAGAGCCACTGGATAGATCTTAATTCCCCTATTAAACTGTCTTTGCCCTTGATTATTACATGTATGACTTCACATTCACCGATATTAATTTTGCTTTTTCAACTGTGATGATAGCCAGTCAAGTCCTTCATATAAACCATCTCCACTTGTTGCACATGTAGCTTGGATGTACCATGTACGATTTCTTAAGTTGTGCAAGCCAATCTTGTCTGTTATTTCTGCAGCATTCATAGCATTGGGCAAATCCTGCAAAACAACAAAATTTCATTTCTATTTGAAAAGTGCAAGTTTTCTTTCTAAATCGAATTATGCTGTACCTCTGTCAAAAACTTCTCCACTACTACTATAAACTTCTCAATTTTACAAAATCCTATAATGATCATAGCCCTAACAAACCATTTCTTATTTTCTTCAACAGGAAAACTAAATTCTCAAATCTGATTATACAAAGTCATATTTTTTATTTCATTGGATATAAAAATGAGACAGATGATAAACATAAAATAAGACTATAAAACTCCTATGCATTCCCTTGTTAACATGCTGCTCTGTTTCATTGTGCAGCAATTACCATGGAAGGGAGCTGACTGACAATTGCCTAAAGGCATGTCTTCTTGTACATTCATTTAAACCTGATGAATAACCAAGCTGACAGAAATTACAGCATGAGTTGACCTTTACAGAGCTAAGGTTAATCAAAACTTTCTAAGTCACAGCATTTGCTAATAGAAATAGATTGAGTGATTGGTGAGATAGCTATCATAGTCCCATGGTCAAGCTTAAAATTTAAGCACAAAGTAAAATTCTAGTACATGAAAAAAAATAATAAAAATAAAAACAACAACAACAACAACAAATCCAGCTGGTTGATGAACACTCCCACTTAGATTGTATTTGCATTCAATGTTCAATTTCCCACTCCTTTATCAAATATGTCCAGAAAATAAAAAGAAACAAAAACAGTGACTAGAGGCTTAAGATATTAATCAAATATAGCCCTACTTAATACTAGAAAAGTGCTTTTTAAGTAATTTTTCAACTCAGCGAACAGAATTATATTACTTCATTGATAAACAGTCACATTCTTTTCATGGAATATGATTTTGCAGAAGCTCTAATCTCCTTTAGAGAACAGAGTAATTTTCAGTGCATGAAAAAGTCAGACAATTGATCAAACTGCTGAACTTGATCATTTTTACACCTACACCTGTTTCCCCAGAGTAAGGCTATTTCACTATTAGGCCACAACCTCTCTTCCCTTTCCATAACTTTTAGTGATTTTGCCCCAACTACTCGAATGGGCACGCAAGCCAGCCAAGACAGTGTATCATTCACTTAGCACAAATATGTCTTCAAAGTTATAGAAGATTGAGACAAAACTAATTGCTTCAAAGCCAGACACAGACATCCCTTAAAACCAGCAGGAGGAAAAAATGGGGAAGGTGTACCCCTGACCAGCACAATGGTGCCATTACCAAAGTTTTAGGGTATCCCTATGTAAAATGTGGTATGCATAAATAGATCAGAGTTAATTATAGATGGATATGAATACATATAAAAGTTAAACCTGGTGTCAACATGACATATTTTTTGAGACAAAATTTCGATGAAAACCTAAATTTACTATTTAATGCAACAAAGGCTGGTTGTGGAAAGCTTCATCCTACAAATAATTACAATGCCACAACTCTCTGGCCCCACACATCCATCTACAATTACCTTGCCTTTTTCCTTGAAAGTAAAAAGTTCTTAAATGCTTTATTGTTCCATAGCTCGAAGCAAAGCATTTAAATCTCGAACCGTGCTCTTAAGTGAACTGTGAAATTCTATGCACACTTATCCCGTGATCAAAATTATATAGCTCAAAATCAAAACACAAACAAATAACTATACAGTATTTCAATTTAATCCACAGGACAATTCACAAAATTATAAATGTTTCGTTTGCATTCCAGACGAAAACGAAAGATGGCAGGAAACGTTCTGAACACCAGAGGAAATTAAGTGATTGAGTGTAAGAACTGTCAGTTAAATTTTCACGATTGCCTCTCAATGATTGCAACATAGTCATACGCGGGGAATTTGACTCTGTAAAGTACTGTCAACTAATAAACGACTAAACTTAGCCTAAAAATTAAGTGCCACGAGAGTTTATTTCCTTCCTACCTGTTTGTTGGCGAACACGAGAAGAATTGCATCTCTAAGTTCGTCTTCGTTCAACATCCTACTCAACTCTTCTCTTGCTTCACCAACTCGCTCGCGATCATTGCTATCCACTACGAAGATTAAACCTGATCACAAACGAAAAACAAAATTTAGACAGATGACTAGTAGATCAGCATAGATCAACGCACAAAGACTATTCCTTTGGATATTGCAAACTACTACGAGTAATTCAAGAACGGCAATCTGTTGAGGTACCTTGCGTATTTTGGAAGTAGTGTCGCCAAAGAGGTCTGATTTTGTCTTGGCCGCCGACATCCCACACTGTAAAACTTATGTTCTTATATTCTACTGTTTCCACATTAAAACCTGCGAAGAAAAAATTCAAGATTTTGTCAAAACCCGATGTTAAACAATGAATGGAAACACGCGATAGAACGCACTGTCATGGCGTCTGCCAGAGTCGTAGTGCACATACCAATTGTAGGAATCGTTGTGACAATTTCTCCCAACTTCAGCTTGTACAGAATGGTGGTTTTCCCAGCAGCATCAAGACCAACCATAAGGATTCTCATTTCTTTCTTGCCAAAGAGACCCTTGAACAAACCACTGATCACACCACCCATGTTTCAAAGTTGATTGCTCCTAGAACGCGACTGTAAACGGCAGAGAATATCGTAGAAGAGAGAAATGAAAACGCGAAAATAAAGAAACTTGTGTTTTCCAAAGGGCTTTTTGTGAGAATCAGTTACCCTTAATCGTTCCCGACGCGAAGTACTTTGAGTATTTATGTATTCGAGGGCAAACTAGCGAATAATTGCCGGCTAAAATTCGACCACGTCGTTAACTTTGTTGAGGAAGGAAACTCGCTATCATTGGGCGCGTCACATGTGCCACGTCATTGTCTAGGATGGGGGGCTCAATACATTCCTCACAGCCTTGAACTAATGGATGAAATTCTTAACAGGAAGGGAAAGAGGTGCGGAGATTCAGGTTTGAATCGTTGATCGAGAACCTGAAAACATTATAATAATGGTCAGGTGAAAGCCTTTCCTGTTTGAATTTTACAGTAATAATCCTCCTTGATTATCGATACAGGAGGACTCGATCCATGCAACTGATAAAGTACATTTTTAGAGTAGCATATAACCCCAGACACCAAAACGGCGTCTCTAAACCTAGATTTTCTGCCCCCGCACAAATTCAATTCTCAATTCGTCATCTCCCTCCTGGCTTTCAAATGCCGAGAAGCCGGAAATGTCACGTTGTAGAGATGCAGACGTATTTCGGTTACGTTACCGTTTTTTCCACCCGGAAATACATCTGCGCTCCCAGGCAACTGTCGACCTGCTGGCTCCTTGAAGATCAGGTGCTGCAGCACGAACGAGGAAGATGCAAGAGACAAAAAGAGCCAGTGAGAGCCCCTTGTTTCTGCTATTGTCGTTATCTTTTTCATTATAGTTCTCAGTTCGTATTCGCCTCTAGCCCTCGACTCTTGTTTCTTTTGTTTACTTCTTATCAGATCTGGGGCATCCTGGACCGGCTTGTTCAGTACATTTGGCTTAACCAGCTTTCCCTCCTCCATAAGTCAGAAGCATATTTGTCAAGTTAAATAGAACACTAATCAAGAAAATAATTAATAATAAATGGAATAAATGGTTGATACGTACACGGTTTTTTAACAAGGCGAATAAAAAGACCCCTCCTCAGTCTGTTTATGGTCAAGTGAACATAACGGACAGCATGTATGGGCCTACCTAAAATCATTAATATTATCATCATCATCATCATCATTATTATTATTATCATATAGATAATTATATATAACAAAACTTTATTCAATACTCATAAAAAAGACCTATGTACAGTGCTTCACTTAAAAAGAATTAAATTTGTAGCTTAACATCTGTTAATTATTAGATGTTAACATCTAGATAATTATTATCGTAATTAAACTGAATAAATAATCGGAATATAGAAAACAATTAAAAAGGATACAAAAAGAAAAGACATAGGAAAAGAAAAATATTTATATATAAAAAGTAATTATGTCATGTTCTCCATGTTTTTCTTTCTTTTTGAAGATGAAATACTGATGAAAGGGTACAATAGAAATAAAAGGAAATGTCATTTAGCCATTTTCTTGGCTCAGTATTGGTCAAAGGTCTCCGGAAGACAACAGTGGTTGGTGAGTTTAGAAGATTGTGCCAGCTTGATGAAATTCTCGGTACGCTTCCGCCAAAGTGAAAATTTCTGCTCAGAGTTTAACGCTTTATGATCACGACCCTAAAAAATCAGCCGCGACTGGAAAAGCCTCGCTTTCCAAGGTAAAGAAAACACCTTCAAGCAATGCACCAGGGAATAGGCTGAACCAAAATATTATCAACAGGTTATAATCTAATATGGAAGCGATTCTCGCTGAGTTATGAACACCACTTAAGCTGTAGTGAAAATAATGTCAGAAAAAGAGAACAAATTCAGACATATACGGGATTTGAACCCATGATTTCTGCGATACCGGTGCAGCGCTCTACCTACTGAGCTATCGAGCCAACTGGGAGCCATTTCACAGGTTTATTTGGAACCAACTGAAACACTGGCAGTTGGCTCGTTAGCTCAGTTGGTAGAGCAGTGCACCGGTATCGCAGAGGTCATAGGTTCAAATCCTGTACATGCCTGAATCTTTTTCAGGCCCTATTTTCACCACTGCTTAAGTAGTGTTCACAACTGCGAGGGTCATTTCTATATTCGTTTCTTCGACTGCAGTTCACACATGATTTTCATATATTTACAGTCATTTATTCACCACTTCATGGGTTTATTTGGAACCAACTTAATAACCAGCGCTCTACCAACTGAGCTAACAAGCCAACTGGGAACCATTTCAAAGGTTTCACAGGTTTATTTGGAGCCATCTTGCATTGAACACTGACAGTTGGATTGTTGGCTCAGTTGGTAGAGCGCTGCACCGGAATCGCAAGGGTCATGCGTTCAAATCCCGTACGTCAGACTGCGAAGATCGCTTCCATATTCGTTTCTTCAACCGCAGTTCACATATATATGATTTTACAGTCGTTTTATAATCTCTTGGCTGAACTCGTGTCGCTTAGTTTAAAGATACATCCTCGCGAGGTTTGATTTTTTTTCTCTTCATGGAGATACAGGGTGTTACGAGAATGAATACCGCAATGATTCGGTTTAGCGTCCTCGTTCCAGGGCCTCCTATACCAATAAGAGCCCTGTTCTGTTTCTGTTTCAGGGAGGTGACTGTTGGGGTACATGTACACTGAGATCAAGCAAGGTTCACCTCCTTTAGTTGCTCACTTTTAAGGCCTCATCACAAAAACAGTGGTCTCCTTCTCGATCTCTCAACTATTATGGTCAAGCGAGTGCACAGCTCCTTCAAACGAAAGATCCCGTCTTAAATTTTTTGCGACTACTACTTGGCTAGTTATTATAGTCAGAAAGGGTCCAGGGACATGAAGTCCATTTTTTTTTTCACCACTTGTTCATTACTGCGAAGGTCGCTTTCATTTTCATTTCTTAAAAACCGCAATTCACATATATGATTTTATTATATTCACATTCATGATTCGAGTAATATTTCATTCAAATTTATTGAGATATTGAGACCGCGATGGTAGTTAGATATGCAATTTCCAGAGCTTTACCCTTAGAGATGTTGTTCATTAATTGTTTCATGCCAACATTAATTACTAATCACGAACACAACGTGGTCTTAGTACCCAGACTTCTTGATAGAGTATGCTTTCGTGGCTGAGGAGGTCAACAGTAACCACCTAAGCATGTGGCGAAATCGCTTTCGTCTCCTCTCTCCTACTAGGAAATGTTGCTGTCAATTTTCTCGGAATATTGTCACCGCAGAACAAGTGAAAACATTTCAGGATCAGGGTGTTATCTGCATTCGAGGTGTTTTCGGAGAATGGATCAAAAGGTTGACGAAAGGCATCGAGAGGAACTTGGAGAATCCTGGAAAATTAAGCGAGTGGCTCAAAAGTGAAAACTCAGAGACGTACTATTTTAATGATTTATTGAACTGGCAACAAATTCCAGAGTTTAAGGAGTTTGTGTTTGAATCACCAGCCGCTGAAATAGCGGGAAAGTTAATGGATGCACAGGTGAGGGTTAGGCGCAAGCTCAAAGGTCTTTGGTGGCTTGTATCCTAACAGAATTTAATTTTTCCGTCTGGCCCGGCCGCTTGTGGTAAGATTTCAAGCACAATCGCATACTCTTTTGGAACGTAGCCGTAGTTACAAATTAAAAGCTTTCTAATGTTTACGCCATTGTTTTCCTTATCCATGTAATGTATGCACAATGGGACAGAGCGGAAATCTTGCCATAACTTGGTTGGTCCGGTTGAGCGGTTTATATTTATGAGGATCAGGATTCAGTTCGCAAGAATGATGGCGACTTGTTTAATTCACAGGTTCAGAATGTGTAATCGGGTTCAGTAGGTATTGTTGTTTTGGTTGAACTGTTGTCACTGTTGTGTTCTTGTACCGAACTTTAACTATTACAACGGTACTAATTTCAACTTTAAACTTATGTTTTTGCATGTAACTTTTAAAAACAAAGTCAACAGTTCAGCACGTTAAACTGATGATGCCCATGAGTCATAGATAATTATATAATAAGCTCAGTTATGCACGCATTCTGATTGGTTCTCACTTATGA